TCAATTTTCTGGTGGACTTTTTGGAGATATGGTTGCTGGAAACAAAAAAATAAAGATAGTTTGTTGATCTCCTTGACGAGGCGCACCTCCCGGTATTTTTCTTTTAATTTTTCGGAGACTTTTTAAAATCGGGGTTAATTTTTCTAACGGCGTTAGACGCCATGCCCCTGCTATGATAACGGAATTGAAACACATGCCCCACTTTGTTAGAAAATGAAACACATGCCCCTATCTGAAAATGGCCCAAACCACAGGTACGTTTTATGTAGTTTTCCCTTTATTAAACTCAATTTTAATTGAAAACTCCGTTATTGAGAAGGGCAATATAGTCTAGGCAATATAGTAATACGAGGGGTGCGCCTAGCAACACCCTTGGGAGGCACACATGTAGCGCCAATCACTCTTCGGCGTTCTTATGTGGTGCGGACGAGCACGAAGAGTCGGCCAGCAGGTTTTGTAGGTGGATAGAAGTAGGGAGGAAATGGCATCGACGAGCGCGGTACGAATAGAAAAGTTGATCGGGCAGTGCGACGTTTGGACATCGGGATTGAAGATGACGAACTGGTGCTCGATGAGGAGGACGCTGCGGATCTCACAAAACAGACGATTCTGGTGACTCGACACCCTCCTGAACTGCCGCCATGGAGTGCAGGAGAGCCTAGGGTTTGGAAGAAGATGAGTGAATTCTGTTTTAATTTCATTTTATTCTCCATGTTGTTTTGGATGTGTTTTTGTTTCCTAGCAGAAAAATTCTAGAATCTAAATCAGTTGATGAGAAATCTGGTATGCATGTCATTGACTCTGTTAAGTCCATTACAGGATCAACGAATCTTATTACTTCTACGGATGTGATAGATTCTAAGTCTGGTTCACAGGTAGACGATAGACAGAAGACTTTTTGTCTTTTCGTAAGTTGCTAAAGTTCTGTTATTTTAATATAAACCACATTCTTTAAAAAAAGAGTTTCCAATCAATATTATCATAATAATGTTTATCGGGAAAATATGACTTATGACCTACATACATATTAATGTAAGATAGAGTTTTGTTTTGATTTTCTAACTATATTCTTGCTTTATGTCAAATCAAGCAAAAACTAGATAAAAAGTAAGGATAGCTGGGACTTTTTGCTTAAAAGTGATTTCCTTTTATAGAAATGAGAACTTTTTTTTGGGACATCCATAAAAGTAAAGTGAGAACTTTTTTTCGGGACCGAGGTACTATTAAATTAGAGACCAAGTATTACAAATTTTGAATGGAAAATGTCTTACATATGTAATCCATTCGCACGGGATTAATTTCTAATTTTTCATTTTAAGATGTGAGCGTGCACATTCATTCTACTTAAATAAACGGAGATAGTTCGAAACAAAAAAAAGCTTGATTTAGTAAATAATAGGAAGATTTGCAACAAAATGTGTTGCACAATATATGTCTAATAAGAGCGTCCAACTTTTGTGTTGCACAATTCCGGGATTTTTTTATTAGAAAACATGCTATTTTCCCTTTTTAATTATATCCGAGCAGATGATTACGGAAGGACGAATTTACTGCAAATATATTTTTAAAATATGCTTCCACACAAAGTCCACTACAAAATTCAAACATGTACTGAAACAATTAATGATCTTGTTTGCTAGATCCACCAATATATGATGTATTTGAGGAATTCTAATGGTTTGATTTGATTACATTAAACCACTAACACACACTGGGGAGACAGTAACAGAGTACACTCTTAACTTCTTATACTTGCCCGGTTGCCCCTAAACAATGTCTCATTTTTTGTCATGATCCCCAACTAAGCTTTATATTTATAATTAAAAAAAAATGTCATTTGTATTATTTGGCTATCTTTTATACGGAGCAGGGGCGGAGCTAGGGGGTGCCCAGGCTAGGCCCTGGCCCACCCCAAATCTGAAAAATGTCAATATTTTTAGTGTAAAAAATTTCGTGTAAATTTTTTTCCAATAATATTCTTTGTACCGGCCCAGTCTAGCCCAGTGTCCTGGCTACGCCCCTGATACGGAGTATATATATTCGGACATTCAGTCACGTAGTTTCAGTGTTTTTAATAAGCATGTCTAATAAAAAAACACATTGTAGGTTTGAAACACAAAAGGCTTGATTTGCACCCATTAATTCGAGGTTGCCATCTTGTATTTGTTTTAAAATGTTTGCCATCTTGTATTTGTTCTAAAATGTTTGCCATCTTGTATTTGTTTTAAAATTTTCGCAAACTTGTTTGTTGTTTTAAACTGTTTGCCATGTTGTATGTGTTTTGAAATGTACATACATTAGTTTATTTGCAAGTGACTATACGTGAGGTTACTGAAAATGTTTTCGCTTGGACCAAAAGTTTTTAAATTTTCAAATTTTATTGGATCTACTATTTTACCTGTACTCTGATCTGAGCTGGTTTAGCCGTTTAAGCTTATTTAGTCAGATTTGGCCTAATCGGACATGGCTGTGTAATACAGAATATGTGATTTACCTGTATACCATATTCCGGACCAGTTAACTTACAAAAATCATTTGACGACCTTCCCGATTGAACTTTTTGCTCAAATTTGGTATGGATGAACTAGACTTGATGAGGAACATACACAAAAAATTTGAGCAAAAAATACCACCGGGAAGGCCCCCAAATGGAGGAGGCCGGACGGGGCTCCTATCCGGAAATTCCGGACAGGAATAATCCTCTCTCTGTGTGTGTATACATATATATACATATATATGTATATATATATATATATATATAGAGAGAGAGAGAGAGAGAGAGAGAGGAATGATCTTGTCAAGTGCGCCTACAGGAAGGTCTATGTGGACTTGCCCGTATGAGGGTGTATTCGGTGAAATTTTTTGATGAACTTTTTTTAACATGTTCTTCATCAAGTCTAGTTCATGCATATCAAATTTCAGCTCAAAATTCGATCAAGGCATTCAAATAATTTTTTTAAACATATGACACATTTTGTGCACATATAATGCGCAGTATGTTTCAAGAATTTATTTGACTGCCTTTCTGATTGAACTTTGAGCTAAAATTTGGTATGAATAAACTAAACTTGATGACTCATGCTTAAAAAATTTCATCGAAAAATGCCACCGAGAAGTCCCTCAATCGAGCAAGTCTACACGGCGTATCTGGTCAGGCGCGCTTCAGGCGCGCCTTACCAGATCAGTTCTCTCTCTCTCTCTCTTTATACACACACACACACACACACACTGGTAGGAAAACTTTCCGGTAAGGTATACCTTACCGGAGCCGTCGTGCGGCCTCCACGTTTTGAGGGCCTTCCCAGTAGAATTTTTCGATGAATTTTTTTGAGCATGTTCGTCATCAAGTCTAGTACATCCATACCAACTTTCAGCAAAAAAATTAATCCGGAAGGCAGTCAAACGATTTTGAAGATAACTGCGTTTTATATGTATATAAAGGGTGCAGTTATTTTCCAAAAATCATTTGACTACCTTCCCGATTGAATGTTTTGCTGAAATTTGGTATGGATGTACTAGACTTGATGAAGAACATGCTCAAAAAATTTCATCGAAAAATTCCACCGGGAAGATCCTCAAAACGTGGAGGCCGCACGGCGGTTCCGGTAAGGTATACCTTACCGGAAGAGTTCCCTACACACACACATATAACAATTTCTTGCTCCACATGAAATGTAACATGTGATGTGTGGCATCAAAGTGTGTATTGAAGTCCTAACACAACTTTTTTGTAATTATTACAATTTCATTTTGGATAGCATAATCACAAATACTAAGGCCCTCCCACATATATTTTGTAAGTCACGCATACGTTTACACTAGTATTGTACCCGTGCGATGCACAAAATACCAATATATTTATATTTTGTATTCATTTCAATTTTCAATATGGTAAAAAGACGAAAATATAAATGCTCTACAACAAAAAATAAACTACACATTATGAAAGGTTTATAGATACACACATCAATTGTACATGAGAGTGCTTGGTGTGCCATCAATGTTATTTATCAATATTTTGAATATCTCACATTTGGTGACTTAGGACTATGCCTGGACTCGAGCCGGTTCGGGCCCGGTTCGGGCCAGGAAAGGGAGGCCCGAGCCCGAACCGCCGGTGGCCGGTTCCGGTTCCGGTCCCGGTTCCGGGCCAAACCGGGCCGGGCCGAACCGGCCCAATAATTTTTTTTTTTTTTTTTTTTTGTTCTCTTATTTAATCCCCTACCCCTCCCCCTCAACCCCAAACCATCCCAAACCACCTCAAATGGCCCAAAATACCTAATCCAACCTAAAACTTAAAAAAATTTCAAAAAAAAAAAAATTAAAATCCGGCCCGGACCGGGCCCGAACCGGCCGGGCCGGTTCACCAAAACCTGGGCCCGGGCCCGAACCGCCCAGCAGCCGGGCCGGGCCGAACCGAACCGAGGGACCCACCGGGCCCCGGGCCGGGCCGGGCCAAACAGTAACCGGGCCGGGCCGGTTCCGGGCCGGGCCGCCCGGCCCGAGTCCAGCACTACTTAGGACACTATAACATATACTACCTCCGTCCCATTTATATTGTCCCGGAAGAGGGTGACACGGTTATTAAGAAAAGTGGGTTTGTGTGGTTGATATTAATTGATAAAGTAAGAATAAAGTAAGAATAATTTAGAACCACACAAACTTTGCCAAATATGGTATGAGACAATTTAAGTGGAACTTTCCGGAAAGGTAAAACGGGACAATATAAATGGGACGGAGAGAGTATATGGTTGGTTGTGACAAAAATACGACATTTGTATAATCAATTTTCATGAAAAAGATATATATTATAACTAGTTTTTATTATAATGTAAATATTGAACACGTGTATATGAGGTACTTCCAAATCCCTTCATGGAAGTTGTTTGGAGATAGCTAGGAACCTCCCTAACAATGAGAATAGAAGCTTGAATGCAACTTCCTCATGTCTCCCATATACACCTATAAATAGGGAGTGTATTGTTGTTCATTTGTATCAGTTTTAGAAAGTGAGAAACGTGTGTGAAGAGTGAAATATTAGGTGAGGATTGATTTTTTATAATAGTTGTGTGAAAGAATTTGATCCTCCTATTGTAATTCTATTCTTGATATTGAATAGAAGAATTTTCAATCCCAACAATTTATAGAGCAATGTGGTACCGATTGATGATTGAAAGTTTGAAACTGTTGAGGTTAAAAAGGCAACGATTCAAGGTTCGCTTATTTGCCCATTCGAAAAAAGGCAACAAATCCAAGCGTCGCTTATTTGCCGATCCGTAACTTTGAGGCGGAAACTGTTATGTCTTGGTTTCTCTTTTTATATTAGTATAGATTTTGTGGTGACAACGCAAAAAAAAAAAAACGAAACCAAAGTAAGTATTTACTGATGTGCCCGCATTATAAGCACACGAGCCATTGGGGAAAAACAACCAAACTAGGAAAGTGGGAAATCAGAGTACTTATCAATACAAATCTAAGCGCAGCCTCAGTCGACCTTTGCAAGTTACTGGAATGAGTTATGAAGTATTTCTTCCATCCCGCTAAAATTGTACATCTTTCCTTTTCGGTCCATCCCACAGTTGCATCCACATTTTCTAAGTAGTAAAACCTGCTTCAGCCTCTTGTTCATACTGTTCGCAAGGCTTTGATCCAATCAATTTCCACATGAAAATCTCTGGGGCCAGACCTCGCACCTGGGACTCCACCTTCTGCATTGACAGATAGAGCCATAGCCAGAACTCGGGATGGATTCATCTCCAACTTTGCATTTATTATGTTTCCTCTCCATGTCGGCACGTACATGGAAAGTGGTATCTGTAGCGAAAATACAAGAGCTGAAATTGACAAGAGCTTTATTACTACTACTACTATTACTACCACTACTAGTACTATTTTGCTTGGGCAAATAACTGGATGGATCAAAGCAGGTCGGGATACTACCACCTTTGCACAATCCAACATTTTTCATTGCCATTCTCCCTTTCATTTCTTTAAAATAAAATAAAGATATTATGGGGTATTCATAAAAGGAGCCATGGCTTACATAAACAGATCCCTTAGCCCTTGGGACATGTTCCCATGGATGATTCTATAGGGCTTTGGAGCATTCATGTAAGCCCGCTCGATATCATGTATTTATTTATAACAAATCTCACGCATATATCAAGATATAGACTTAGCCCTCTAAATCCCTCCATCCCAAACTGACCATTATGAGGTCTAACGAAGGAATCTGTTTCATGCAATAGGGAGCTCAAGAAAGCTATTGAAAAGGTACAAGCAGCTAAATTATGCCACTGGCCAGCCAAAGTGCCCACAACAAAATTAGCGTCACAGAGAAAATGAGGGATAGAAGCCGGTGGGACATGCCTTAGCTATGTACCAGTCGTCTTTAGGTACAAAAACAAATGCCTGCCATGAGTTATCTTCCTCTTGCCCAGGAGAATTCACCCAATTCTGGGTGTAGATCTGCAGTTATATGTACGAAAAGATTATAATTTTCTGATGAGAAGGTTAACTCATATAAGAGTGCTCCATATAAATGAAGGTTCATCATTTAAATATTAAAGTACTCTCTAGCAGAAATATGCACACAATGGGGGGCTCACAGTAGAGATGTAGTTCCTCCCATCTCCTTTCAGTTTGACTGCTATTGTATCATATGCATCCAAGTCAATAGGGCTGGGACCGGTTCGGTTCTTACTCAAAATGAGTGGAACCGTTATAAAAATTTTAACTAATGAAATCGGTTCGGTTCCTATATAAAAAATCAAGAACCGTTATGGAACCGAACCGGTAGTAAACGGTTCGGTTCTTCCTCTTACCGGTTCCTAGAATAATTTTTTCTCGTCTAAGAATTAACACATAATTTTAAACACGTCGAAAATTCAAAACACGAGCATTAAAATTTTATTTGAAGCTCTAATCACTTCAAACATCAAAGCTCAAACTTAACTAATGAACTTTGAACACTTAATAGAACAAAAGTGATTTAAATTTTCATGTAATAAATCAAACATTAAAAATCATTGTAGTGTCGGAGCGATGAAGGTTACTCGTCATCATAGTAGCAAGAATAGGACGCCTACTTCAAGTCTTTCAAAACATAAAAAAAGACATTGAGTTTGCATTTATAGATGTAAAAAAAACATTATTACATTCTATTGATTCATAATAAATCTAATAATTAGAAATATCATGAAAATAGTAAAGTAAAATATGTGCAATCAACCACAAGTTATTTGAGTTATTTTATATTTATAAAATTTATGTGATGGAACAAAACTTGATTTGTAGAAAGGAGTTTAATGTATTATATCAACCTCATGTACAATATTTATCACTTCTTTTCCGTTGATTAAATTAGAATTGTTAGTCAAATATCTTATATTGTTTTATTATTGTTGTTGTGGTGGTGGTTATTATTGCTATTATATTATTATTATTTTTATTTTTATTATTATTGTTACTACTACTACTAATAATAATAATATTATTATTTTTTATTTTTTAATAACGGTTCCTTAACGGTTCCATGCACATATTTTTTATAGGAACCGGGAACCGAACCGTTATAACCCGGTTCGGTTCGGTTCCTACAAATGAGGCATTAATTGTTAACGGTTCAGTTCCTAGGTGTTGTTAACGGTTCGGTTCCAATCGGTTCTACGGTTCCTGGTTCCAAAATCCCACCCCTAGTTATTACTTGGCATTGCATTATTGAAATTAAAAACATACATGCCCCAAAATTCTAGTAATACATTAGTCTTATAATTCTTATATATGAATAAAATAATAATAATAATAATAATCCTAGTAATGAAGTAACAATAGATCCCAACAATCATAACCATTCCAGCTTCTAAGAAATTCAATCACCTAAATATTATGTAGTACTTAATTTTGAACTTCTGTCCTAAACTAATCTTCATTGGTTTCAGTCCCAAAACAGACCAGACTTTAACAGACTAGACTGAACCAGACTTTGACAATTGTAAAGTACCTGACTAGATCAATTCAAACATGACCGTGGGTGAAGTAAAGAAATTCCCTTATCACTCTTGGGCCCTTGGCCTCTTGCAGCTTGCTCCCAAACTCAAAATCTTGGTCCTGCCATGTTACATGTATGGTTGGAATCTCGTGCAAGGTCTAGGTAGAAAGAACGAAAGAGGGTATCTAGGATCTATGTTCAATGAGGAATTAACACTGTCTGCCTAGTCAAGACAACCAAGAATAAATTTGTTAAGAGCGCGCGTACACGATCTCGTCCAAGGTCGAGAACGAGATAAAGGAAGCGAATTCAAGTACTGAGATGAATAAATTTTTGGATCTATGATGAGCCGAGAGAGAGAACGGAAATAAAAGATTTTATTGGAATTAATTCGGTGCCCGACCTTGTCAAGACGCAGTAATTAATTCTCCAAAAAAACCTCCCCCTAAAACAACTGAGGACCCATATATAAAGGTTTTACAAGAGTCCTAAAAGAGAATTAGGAAACTTACTAAAACTGAATTAGGAAACTTACTTAAAACTGAATTAGGAAACTTACTTAAAACTGAATTAGGAAACTTGCTAAACTGAATTAAAAAAACAATAAAGTAAATGCAGGAACTTGCTCCCAAAATCAGCCACTTTCAGTGGTCTCATTGGGCTGAAGATCACCCCTTTGCCCAATCCTGCGCCTTTGATATTTTTGGCCCCAAAACTTGTCCATAACATCACTCCCCTCGTTGACAAGGAGCTTGTCCTCAAGCTCAAAATCTGGATACGCGGCTCCCAGGGATACGCTTTCCCCTTCCACTGGACCAGGAATTCTAAGGAGCCATGATGCAGACGGTTGCGGAGAATAGCAAGCGGTGTGATTTCGTCAGGGGGGTCAACTAGCAATGGCAGAGTTCCCATGGTTGTGGGTGGGGTCCCCTTGTGGGGCTTTAAAAGAGAGACATGAAACACATCGTGAATGCGGCTCGCTGGTGATAATTTCAATTTGTATGCTGCTTCTCCAATTCGTGACTGAACCTGAAATGGTCCATGAAACTTTGGAATTAATTTATGGTTACCACGACCTAGGGAGAGTTGTCTGTGAGGATGAATGCGTAGCCAGACCCAATCTCCTGCCTGGAAGGAAAGATCGCGATGATTTTTGTCATACTGCAGCTTCATATGTTGCTAGGCTTGAGCTAGCCGCTCTCGGGCCTTAGCCAAGAGTTGATCCCGGCTAAGAAGCTCACGGTCCACACCCTCTAATCGTGCCGTCCCAGGGACATATGAGATAAGTTTAGGTGGATCACGACCATAAACAAGACGAAAAGGTGTATCCCCCAAAGACGTATGGTAAGAGGTGTTATAGCAGTATTCCACCCATGGGAGCCAACGAACCCATTCTTTTGGGTAATCACTTGTAAGGCATCGCAAAAATATTCCCAATGTACGATTTACTACCTCAGTTTGACCATCGGTTTGAGGATGATAGGCAGAGGAAAAAAACAGTTTAGTGCCCGCCAACCGAAATAGTTCTTTCCAAAAGGAACTCACAAATATCTTATCCCGGTCAGAGACGATAGATTCTGGCAGTCCATGTAAGCGGAATATCTCTGCAAAGAAGACCCCTGCAACAGAAATTGCCGTGAACAGGTGTGCCAATGGAAGAAAATGCGCTGCTTTGGAAAGACGATCAACAACCACCAATATCACTGTCTTGACTCTCACCTTAGGCAACCCTTCTACAAAATCCATCGATATATCTGCCCAAATGTGTTGTGGAATCGGGAGCGGTTGAAGGAGCCCTGCCGGCTGCAAGTTCAACCATTTATGTTGCTGGCACGTCTGACAATTCTGAATAAATGCTGCCACTGTTGATTTCATGCTAGGCTAGAAAAACTCGCGACGGAGACGCTGCAGCGTCTTTTCCACCCCTTCATGGGCCATGCTATGGAAAACTGAAAGGAGGGTCAAAATAATGGCGAAGGAATCCAGTAGATATAGTTTAGACTTGAAATAAACTAACCGTTGTGATCTGGGATCGGATTTCTGAAATCACGGAGGAGCCCACCTGTTCTGCCCGTATTTCGCTGAGTAAGGAATTAAATGGAACTGTGAGAGCTGCCAAAGAAATCTCTCCTTCATCGCGGCGAGAGAGTGCATCGGCTGCAACATTAAGTCGACCAGGCTTGTATTCAACTCAAAAGGTGAACCCCACCAATTTGCTCAACCAGTGCTGCTGTGGGGACGTGGTAAGGCGTTGATCCAATAAATGTTTGAGGCTGGAATGATCAGTTTGAATGACAAATTCACGGCCCCACAGATAAGGACGCCAGTGGGTGACTGCTTTAGCCAATCCAATCAGTTCTCGTTCATAGGCGGGAAGTTTAACATGGCGATCCGCGATCTTTCTGCTGAAGTAAGCAATTGGATGCCCTTCCTGCTGCAACACCGCACCAAAACCAGTGCCTGAAGCATCACACTCGACCACAAATGCTTGCTGAAAATTCGGTAGTTGTAGCACTGGCGCTGTTGAGAGGCAAAGTTTTAACTGGTGGAAAGCTTTTGCTGCACTATCTGTCCAGACAAAGGAGTTCTTCTTCAATAATTGGGTCAACGGCTCTGCAGTTTCTCCATAGCGTTGAATAAATTTGCGGTAGTAACCGGCCAGGCCTAAAAAACCACGTAAGGCAGTGATTGATCCCGGAGTGGGCCAATCCATTACTGCTTGAATCTTAGTTTTATCAACCTCAACCCCTCCACTATGGATAACATGCCCAAGATAATGAACTTGGACAGTTCCAAAATTGCATTTGGACTGCTTGAGAAATAGGCCATTATGACGCAACACATCGAGGACGAGTCGAACATGGTGAACATGTTCTACCCAAGATTTGCTGTAAACTAAGATATCGTCGAAGAAAACCAAAACGAACTTCCGTAAATATGGCCTGAATATATTGTTCATCAGACTTTGGAATGTGCACGATGCATTTGTAAGACCGAATGGCATGACCTAAAATTCAAAGTGGCCATGATGGGTTCTGAACGCTGTTTTATGAACGTCTTCGGGAGCCATTCTAATTTGGTGATACCCAGAGCGGAGGTCTAACTTTGTGAAGAATTTGGCCCCATGCAGTTCATCTAGCAGTTCATCGATGACTGGGATAGGAAATATATCTTTGACAGTTTTAGAGTTCAATTCTCTGTAATCAATGCAAAAGCGCCAAGCGGCATCGGGTTTTTTGAACAGTAACACCAGGGATGAGAAGGGTGAATGACTGGACTGAATTATGTCTTGCTCCAGCATCTGAGAACATTATCGTTCAATCTCATCTTTCTGGAAATAGGGGTAGCGATAAGGTCTGACAACTACTGGTCCGGCTCCTGGAACCAGAGTAATGTGGTGATCACATGTGCGTTGAGGGGGCAATCCTACTGGATGAGAGAACAATTCTTCATAATGGGATAGTAAGCCATTAAGAGTGTTGTCTCTGTTTTGAGAGTTTGCCAGCAAGTGTACCTGCAATTTCGGGGCTGCTTCCTGGCCATGCCACTCGATTGCTCGTCTGTTCCAGTTGAACTTCATAGAAAGATGAGCAAAATCCCACAGAATGGAACCCAAACCCCGGAGCCAATGAATGCCAAGAATCATATCAAACCCGGCAAGAGGTAACACATAGAAATCAGCAACGAAATCTTGACCATTGACGCTAAATGTCAATCGTGGGCAAGATCCGAGGATAGGGACACGATCTCCGTTGGCAACGAGAACATGTAAGCTCGACTCCAATGGCAATGGTGGAGATGCGGATGAGATCAAACGCTGGTGTATAAAGTTGTGAGTACTGCCGGAGTCAACTAAGATTGTAATTGAGGATCCAAACCCGGTCATGGCAAGCAAGGATAAAAAAGGATCAGTATAAGGCATCTCAGACTCGAGCTGGTCATCTTCAACGATCTCCACGAAGAATAAGCGCTTACAACGATGACCCCTCACCCACTGGTCATCACAATTGTAACACAATCCCTTTTCCCGACGGATTGCAGCTTCTGCCCGTGAAATCTTTTTGAAGGTGGGATTGTAGTTGCGCCGAACTGGGGCTGTTTCAAGAGGAGAAGGTGGATCCAGCCCTAATGATGCCGCTCCCCCATAACGAGCAGTTGAATTGTTTCTTGTTGTTGGGGCTAACATCGCCAAGGAAAGGCGTAGCTTGCGGTCAACGCTACGGGCACTCATCATGGCAGAGTCAAGATCAATCGGATCTTGGTATTCAACTTCCACGCGCACTGCCTCCTGGAGACCAGCTGTGAAGATTCGGACTTGCATGCGGACCGATACACCCGCCGTACGAGCCAGTAATTGTTGAAACGCCTCAAGAGTTGCAATGGCTATTTCTGCGCAGCCATTGCAATGGCAGATTTGTCTAAAGAGTTGGCATCATTTTTTGTTGTGGTGGTGAAGGAGTTAGCGGCAGCAGCGGTGTTGGTTTTACTGGAGGCAGCAGTTGTTGGATATGCGGGTAGCAGCATCGATCTTGATAGTGGAGGTGGTAGCATCTAGACTTATGACCACAACAGAGAAGATAGACGTGGAGGTGATAGACTGATACCACAGTTGTGAGGTGCCTATTACCAAAGGGGTCTAACTATAAAAGGAGAGAAAAAAATAGCATTTTGTGTGGATTAGAATCCAAAGGAGAAAATATTACTGCATTCACACATTTCAGTGACGAACGGACTTTGAACCCAAATACTATCTTTTTTTTTTCAGGGGGGGGGGGGTTATCCTTACCTACAGCACTAGGTCCATCACTTGTATCTTTAATCTCTAGAGAAGCAGATGACATACCTGAAGAGTTATCAATACCTGATATATTCAGATATGATTCTAAAGAAACAATTTGCATATAGTAGAATAGTGAATATAGGAATGTATGGTATCAGTGAAATCGAAAGCGGGTCATGGTGTAATATGAACTAATAAAACCCAATTAAAAGAATTACTGAGAGTAGTTGGAATGGCACAGCATGAGAACAAAAGCTTAATAATGCTCATCTATATTTATATATGTATGAGAAAATAGATTTCAGAAGCATAACACAATATAAGAATTAAGAAATATATTTAAAAAAAAAAGAGTACCAGTATAACCTGCTACTCTGCTAGACTAGCACATGTATTTCATGCAATGTAGAATCTAAGAGAAAATCACCCAGGTAAATGCACCTCCATATTCAGAATCTGAATATAAATGCCACTTTTTCAGTTCAGCTTTTGAGTTGAAATTGAATATTAATCTTTCACGTGGAGGAGTTAAGTCTTCAAGGTTCCATGTAAGAGCTGCAAGTTGTAGATTTAAACAATAAAACTAAGCACATCAGCAGGAAAAATAAAGAGGTTAATGAATTTGTGTGTCAACTGTCAACTAATGAAGGGTGGGTATGTTTGGGTTTGACAGAGGTCTGTTGGTTACTTAGTTCGGTTTTTTACCCAACCCAAGACAAAACTAACTTTTATGCAACATAATCCAAACCGATTATGTTTAGCAAGCCACACTATCGTAGGTTTGTTTGAATGGTTTGGACATTAAATCCATAATTCCATATATGTTTTGGAAGCTGGGATCAGTCCATAATCAAATTAACTCAGACCAAATAATTTACAGTATATTATAAGCCTGATTTGAAAATTATGACCTTAAAGACATTAAGTCTAGTGGTACTTAAGAAATGGAGATCAAGAGAAAAAAACTGAAAATAACCAAAATTATAGTATCTACTTATCTAAGATTTAGGATAAGGTATAACATAAGTAAACAAATTACTACAGTAAATATTAAATCATTCAAATATAAATTTTTGGAATGACAGCTCAAAAACAGGACGAAATGCAAGTAGGCTATACTCTTAAAGACTTGATATGTCATAGAATATGTTAGTGAGTCAGACTGGATTGGATTGGATTAGATTAGAATCATTAGATTGGATTGCATTGCATTGCATTGCATTGGACTGGACTAGACTGGACCTGTGACACCAAAACGAATGCGCAAGCACAGTGTGCAAATACCATTATATACCATCCTTTCTTAAGAGTTAAGACAACTTCCCTCTTCAACTGCACTCTATTTGTTCTTACAAGTAACAACCATCTACATGTGCCTTAATGTAAAAACCATTACTCGATGGGAAGATGTAAGGAGGCAGACTGAGAAACATAGTAATAATAATTGCAAATTGTATCTTCAAAAGAATAGGAACCAATCGTTGCCAGTTGCATTAGTGCATAGAGTGAAGAAGTAAATAGACCAAGTTCTGAAATAACTTGCCTCTTTTAGTTGCAGCAAGGGATGCTTGCAATAGTGAACGAAACCTGGACATTTTAGCCCCCTAGATTCCTGGTGAGTTCCAATACAGGTTAAAATATCCATCGACACAATGTATTACTCAGTCTAGAAAACCATCATTCAAGTGCACTAGTTATACACTTATACATAACAGAAGCAAACCCAAATCCAAAATCTATCAATAGTATGGCATGAAATTGAATTATTATCATGAAACTACATTTAGATATCAAAATTTACTTACTGCACACCATTTATATTTCCAAGCATTTACAAAGTACCACTATGAAGTTATGAAACATCTATGAATAACCTACAATGTTGTAAGAGGGGTTAGATGTACTCAACCTTAACCATGTACTAAAGCACATAGAGACTGTTCTTGGATGATCCATGATGAAAATCGCATTGAAAATTACATGTACTATCTGACTATTTGTTGCTTCATAACAAAGAAGCGCAAACAATTTAGTGAATCATTTTGCTTTATTCCTTCATATTCCCAAGCCAAAAAATAGTGAATTTTGGCTTCATTTGGAAATAATGGAAATTTGAGCATCTATGAATATTTATTTTACAAAACAAACCATGATACTCATTTTCATTGAAAATACTGGAACAGAAAGAGTCTTATGAATGTAATAACGAGAAAGATGCTCACCACTCAAAACCAAATTTCAATTGGAGACATTCCTTTGTGGCACGACACCTTGGATAATGATCACATATGTAACTTCTTATCACCCAATAAAGGTGGGCACACATAACGTCCAATTTTTAATTACTCTATAGCATATGGATTTCAATATGTGCCCCAATGTTCTTAAAGGTAATCTAGGCTACTTGTAGCATTTTCTAGGTATATCTGAATGTTGTTACTATCTACCTACTTCGTGAACAAAATCTGAATAGTATATATGTTTAACATTGAAAAATTGAAACAAATATACATGAGGATAAAAAATAAGCTATTAAAACATACCTTGAATGTTATCATTGCTCCTTTTTTCCGAATAACCTTGTTCCCTGGGAGAATGATAGAACTATGTGTAAGCTTTTTCATTGGTAACAACCGCTTCTCTTCTAAAAATGTTGATGCGTGCACCCTTTAATTTGGCCAATTCATTACTACTTAGGTATGCGGTAGTATCTAAATTGTTTTATTTCTGACTTTCCTCGATCATAACTGCCCCACTACTCCTCTTTTTTTTTCAAAACCCTCCACTACTCTTTAATAACCACTTCTAACTAACTGCCCCACTCTTTAATGCTTGCCCACGTCGTTCATTCTTTTTCCACTATTGTTTTAATGTAAATGTCATTATTAATAACTTTGATGCGTGAACCCTTTAATTTGGCCAATTCATTACTGCTTAGGAATGCGGTAGTATCTAAATTGTTTTATTTGACTTTCCTCGATCATAAGTTCATAACTGCCCCACTACTCTTTTTTTTCAAAACCCCCCACTACTCTTTAATAACCACTTCTAACTAACTGCCCCACGCTTTAATGCTTGCCCACGTCATTCATTCTTTTTACATTATTGTTTTAATGTAAATGTCATTTCATAGGTTCCAACCTCCAATTAGCAGCTACCAAGGTAAGATACTCTGCACTTTATCTCTTAATATTTTAATATTTTTTTGTTTCAAGCTTTCTCCGTATTAACTTTTTTTATTGGATTGAAATCTATACTTTTTATATAACAATTACCCTTAATTTTTTTTAAATGCAACTATGATATTGAGACTTTTTGTTTTTTGAATTTTTCAAAAAATAACGTAGTCTTTAATGCTTTAGAAAAAGGCTATATATGTAAAAAAATTGAGTTTTTAGTTTTGAAAAGGCTAATTCTATGTTATTATATATACAATACTTCATTTAAAAAGGGCATAATTCTACCTTTATAAACTTTGGATTTGACAAACAAAATTGCGGCCACCATAAAACTTGGGTGCTTTTTAACTTGTTCTTTGATCACATTAAAAAATAGTCCCCACAATGTGCATTTTAATGTTCGTTGTCTGTCATGCGTTGAATATATATAAAACATATTACACCGCTAGATGCATGTGGTCAAAGTTTCAAAAAAATAGTTCAAAATAATTACCTATGGAGTTCACCATTGAACTCCTGCGGCCTGGGGTAGTGAAATGACTTGATGCTGCCTATGACATCTGCAGGGATAGTTTGTAAGAACTCAATATTCACGGGCAAGGAAATAGGCCATTTGGCTATAGAGCTCAATTAATTGGGTAAAGAATAAAATGGTCAGGCTCAAAGTGGTTTCTACTAAAGGAATTATTCAGGAAAAATGGAAGATTTATGAATTCAATGGGTGACTAATGCCTTCATCCTCTCAACAACTAGATTATAGTGCAAACAATTTAAGCCTAAACACTTCAAAGATGTCCTAAAAGCATAGTCAAAACGCTAGTCAGCTCACAAAGACACAGTTTAAAAAAATATTCAAAAAATTTAACATGATTTTCCTATGAATATAGGACTAACACCTGCGAATGCTAACTCTAATAACCCGAATGCCCAATTCACATCCTCACACTTAAACTTTGGCATCGCCCTCGATGGCCAAATATGCACTATGCACAAGGGGTAAAGGGGAAAGGGTCACGCGTGCTCAAACTCAACTCAAGTTAATTATTACAAACAGGCGATTAAGAGTCACAGAAACTTCCCTAAGGCACTAATCGGTGCAGAATAAAACTGGGTCAATTTGCAAACCTCGGCGCATCATCCAAAAAACGTACTTTGAGCTGCAATCACCATTCATACAACAAAAACAAAGCACAGTAGAGAGTAAAGAGTAATAGTGTGACTGTGTGGGAGTGAATAATAGTACAGTCATCCAACATAAAATCTCAAAGTACAGAAGCTAGCGCAGGACAACTACTCAATAATCTACTGCTCAAGAGGAGGAGGAGAAGGAGGATGATATCCCTCAAAGAATGAGCGCCAGCTGGTCTCGTGTGTAATGAGGTGCTCATCAATGCCCGTATACTGCGACCGCAGCTGGGTGTAATGCGTCTGCTGCTCCTCATTCATCTCCCTGTTAAATATCTGTTGATCCTCCCTCATCTGGCCGAAATGATCATGCTGCTCACGGGATAGTCTCCGGTATACATCCTCCTGGTGCATGTGCACTCCCGCCCAAGTATCAAGATAGGCATAATCATAGGGGGGGGGGCACATAAGGAATGTCATGTGCAGCGTCATTGTCCATAGCATTGCCTCCCTCGGCGTGGTGCTCCTCTTCATGCTCCTCCTCATGGTGGCCTATTCCGCCACCCTCAAGAATTTGTATACCCGCCTGCTGGGGTACCTCCTGTCCTCCAGCTCCATCCCCTTGCGTTGTTTGTTGTCTTATCCTCACAACTCCCGTGTTCACGTCGGGGAGCTTTGTCAATGGGAGAAAGCTAGAACTCCCATCCATCCCTATAAAGTGGTCTCCATAACCCAGCCCATGCAACAGTCGTGTAATGTAAGGACCAGAGTATAACGCCTTGATGTGGTTTGTTGACTGGCAGTGGAAAAGGCTGGCAATAATGGCGCCCATGTGGGGCTTCTGGTTGTGGATCATGCAGTATAGGCAAAGAAGGTCTTTGGAGGAAACCTTGCCCGCGACCTCAGCTCTTCCGGTGACCGTGGAGGTTAGGAACGCGTGGATGACTCTGTACTTCTGGGGGGAATTGTAGCATGTTAGAGGACTCCCGGGGTGAGTAAGTGATGCCTCCTCGAGAAATGGCCTCCCAAAATGTCTGGCGGTCTACATCGGGTGGTAGGTCAATCAAACCAACTACATCATGGTCGGCGTTTGCAATCTGATCAAAACCTAAGTGCCACCGGATGTTGTCAATGGAGACCGCATGGTCTTTCTCCAAATGCTCTGAACTTGATCGCACGCCGGAGATTGTATGATACCGCATCAAAATACTTTGGCAGCTTAATTATTGTCAACACCTCACAAGTAACCTCTTTGAAAGTTGGCTCTCGGATGCCGAACAACAGGTGTTGCCACCAACTCCTACGCAGCAAGAACATAACATCATACTTCAACCCAGCTGCGGTAAGTGTGGGCTCATCCGAATGGTACATCGTGTCGACATCTTTCTTTACCAGCTCCAAATACGTTAACAGCTGCTTATCTTCTTGAATTGTGGCTAATATTGGGCATCAGCGGCCCTACTAGAGCTGGCCGCGGCATTCTCGCGGGTAGGCTTGGCATTCTTGGTCCGAGCCATCTGCAAAAACAATTCAAGCAAAAGAATTCCAACGGGACTTCCAAGTGTTAAAATCAAGCACAATACTCAAGAATAATAGCCTCGTCAGCAACAATTTTGTGGTTAATTGTTGTTGACGGGGCTATTATTCTTGAGTATTGTGCTTAATTCTAACACTTGGAATTCTTTTGCTTGAATTATTTTTGCAGATGACTCGGACCAAGAATGTCAAGCGTACCCGAGAGAATGCAGCGGCCAGCTTTAGTAGGGCCGCTGGTGCCCAATATTAGCCACAATTCCCAGAAGATAAGCAAATATTGAAGTATTTGGAGCTAGTAAAGAAAGATATTGGCACGATGTACCACCCGGATGAGCCCACACTTACCGCAGCTGGGTTGAAGTATGATGTTATGTTCTTGCTGCGCAAGAGTTGGTGGCAGCACCTGTTGTTCGGCATCCGAGAGCGACTTTCAAAGAGGTTACTTGCGAGGTGATGGCAACAATTCAGGGCATGTGATCAAGTTCAGAGCATTTGGAAAAGACCATGCGGTCTCCATTGACAACATCCGGTGACACTTAAGTTTTGATCAGATTGCAGACGCCGACCGTGATGTAGTTGGCTTGACTGACCTACCACCCGATGTATACCGCTAGCATTTTGGGAGACCATTTCAGGAGGAGGCAGCACTTACTCACTTCGGGAGTCACCTAGCACGCTACTATACCACCGGAAATACAGAGTCATTCACGCGCTCCTAACCTCCACGTGGGCTATGGAGACCACTTTACAGGAATGGACGGGAGTTCTAGTTTTCTCCCATTGACAAAGCTCCCCGACGTGAACACGGGAGTTGCGAGGATAAGAGAGCAAGCAGCGCAGGGGGCTGGAGCTGGAGGATTAGAGGTACCCCTGCAGGCAGGTATACAGATTCTTGAGGGTGGCGGAGCAAGCCACCATGAGGAGTACCACGCCGAGGGAGACGATGCTATGGACCATGATGCTGCACAGGACATTCCTTATGTGCCGCCCCCCTATGATTATGCATATCTTGATACTTAAGCGGGGGTGCACATGCACCAGGAGGATGTATACCGGAGACTATCATGTGAACAACATGATCATTTCGGCCAGATGAGGGAGGAGCAGCAAACGCACTACACCCAGCTGCGGTCGCAGTACACGGGCATTGATGAGCACTTGACTACATTCGAGACCAGCTGGCGCTCATTCTTTGAGGGATATCAACCTCTTCTTGAGCAGTAGATTATTGAGTAGTTGTCCTCCGCTAGCTTCTGTACTTTGAGATTTTATGTTGGATGACTGTACTATTATTCACTCTCACACTGACACACTATTAATCTTTACTCTCTACTGTGCTTTGTTTGTGTTGTATGAATGGTGATTGCAACTCAAAGTATGTTTTTTGGATGATGCGTCGAGGTTTGCAAATTGACCCAGTTTTATTCTGCACCGACCAGCGCCTTAGGGAAGTTTCTGTGACTCTTAATCGCCTGTTTGTAATAATTAACTTGAGTTAAGTTTGAGCACGCGTGACCCTTTCCCCTTTACCCCCTTGTGCATCGTGCATATTTGGCCATCAAAGGCGATGCCAAAGTCTAAGTGTGGAGGAGTGAATTGGGCATTCGGGCAGTAGTTGTTACAGGGGATTATTAGAGTTAGCATGCGCAGGTGTTAGTCCTATGTTCATAGGAAAGTCATGTTAAAATTTTTGAATATTTTTTTAAACTGTGTCATTGTGAACTAGCTAACGTTTTGACAATGCTTTTAGGACATCTTTGAAGTGTTTAGGCTTAAATTGTTTGCACTATAATCTAGTTGTTGAGAGGATGATTCGGGATGAAGGCATTAGTCACCCATTGAATTCATAAATCTTCCATTTTTCCTGAATAAGTCCTTTAGAAGAAACCACTTTGAGCCTGACCAATTTATTCTTTACCAAATTAATTGAGCTCCATAGCCAAATGGCCAATTTCCTTACCCGTGAATATTTCTGAGTTCTTACAAACTATCCCTGCAGATGTCATAGGCAGCATCAAGTCATTTCACTACCCCAGGCCGCAGGTATGTGAAATTGTCCTAGAAGATCTTGGGTAATTATTTTGAACTATTTTTTTGAAACTTTGACCACATGCATCTAGCAATGTAATATATTTTATATATATTCAACGCATGACAGACAACGAACATTAAAGTGCACATTGTGGGGCCCATTTGTTGATGTGATCATAGAACAAGTTAAAAACCACCCAAATTTTATGTTGGCCACGATTTTGTTTGTCAAAGCCAAGGTTTACAAAGGTAAAATTATCCCCTTTTTAAATGAAGTATTGTATATATAAAAACGTAGAATTAGCTTTTTTAAAACTAAAAAGGCTAATTAAGGGTATATATAATAACATAGAATTAGCCTTTTCAAAACTAAAAAGTCAAAAAATTTAAATATATACCGTTTTTTAAAGCATTAAGGACTACGTTATTTTTTGAAAAACTCAAAAAAAAAATCTCAATATCATAGTTGCATTTTAAAAAAAATTAAGGGTAATTGTTATATAAAAAGTATAGATTTCAATCCAATAAAAAAAGTTAATACGGAGAAAGCTTGAAACAAAAAATAAATATCAAAATATTAAGAGATAAAGTGCAGAGTATCATACCTTGGTAGCTGCTAATTAGAGGTTGGAACCTATAAAATGACATTTACATTAAAACAATAATGGAAAAAGAATGAACGACGTGGGCAAGCATTAAAGAGTGGGGCAGTTAGTTAGAAGTGGTTATTAAAGAGTAGTGGGGGGTTTTGAAAAAGAGTGGCGTAGTGGGGGCAGTTATGATTGAGGAAAGTCAGAAGTAAAACAATTTAGATACTACCGCATACCTAAGCAGTAATACAACAACAACAACATCCAAGCCTTAGTCCCAAACGATATTGGGGTCGGCTAACATGAATCGATATATGATATCACCAAAAGGAAAAGGACGAAAATAAAGATAAAAAAGATAAGCTATTATAAAAAAGATACTCCCTCTGTCCCTAAATTTACTTCCATTTCGCTTTTCGAGAGTCAACTTAAATCACTCTTAAACTCTTACTTTTTGTATCAAAACTTTATGAAAATTGATTTTTTTTGTGCAGGCTTTGTAGCGGGTTTAATGTAGTTTCTCAATATGTAAATTTTATTTACTAAAAATAATCCGAGTTTTCACAGGGATCATTTAACTTTATCGTCGGTCAACCTTCGTAATCCGCAATCGGAAGAACATTCAGGGACGGAGGGAGTAATATAAAAGAGATGAATATACATATAAAAGATCAAATAAAAAGGATAAAGTAATATTTATGTATAAGGATAAATATATATATATATATACATATATAAAAAGTGGAGAAAAGATGATACAAGATGATACCTAAGCAGTAATGAATTGGCAAAATTAAAGGGTGCACGCATCAAAGTTATTAGAAGAGAAGCGGTTGTTACCAATGAAAAAGCTTACACATCGTTCTATCATTCTCCCATGGAACAAGGTTATTCGGAAAAAGAGGAGTAATGATAACATTCAAGGTATGTTTTAATAGCTTATTTTTATCATCATGTATATTTGTTTCAACTTTTCAATGTTAGACATATATACTATTCAGATTTTGTTCACGAAGTAGGTAGATAGTAACAACATTCAGAGATACCTAGAAAATGCTACAAGCCTACAAGTAGATTAGATTACCTTTAAGAACATTGGGGTACGTATTAAAATCCAAATCCTATTCAAAATATTGATGTGTGAGTGCATACGTATTAATTGTTTAAGAAAAATCACTTAAATGTTAGAAATGGTTTTTTTAAATCACATATTGGAAACAACATTCAGATATTGCTACATAATTCTACAAGTACTTTAGTTTACCTTTAAGAAAATTGGATATGTGTTGAACTCCAAATCATATTCAAAACATTGATGTTTAAATGCATACCTATTAATTGTTCAAGAAGGATCACTTAAATGTTAGAAGCAGTTTTTTAAAATCACATATTAGTAAACTCTTGGAACAACAGAGTAATAAAATTGGGAACATGAACGATTGATAAGAAAACTAGGGAATGGAAACTATGAAATTATAAGAAACGTGATTTTAAAAGAAAGTATGCTTCAGTATGAGCACAAGTGGAATAACTGGGAAACATGATGAAAAAATGTTATGAATGGGTATCACGAAATACTCCCTTCGTGATGGAAGCAGAAAATAACAATCAACATTAAATTCCATTGCCCAAGCTAAACAGCTAAAACCAATATTATTAATCCCCTTTCAATAAGCCTAGACAGGGGTTTAATAGGAAACTAAATCCTAGTAAGAAACATAATAGGAGTCCTAATTAAATCATACTTGGAAACTAAATAAAATAAGAAACCTCTTATCCTAATTAAAATAAACTAGGAAACTAGATAAAATCATAAAATAGGAAGCCTCTAATTCTAATAAGAATAGAACTATAGAAGTCCTAAATAAACCATAAAATAAATTAGGAAACATCATAAAAAGAATAATTAAAATATCTAGAACCAGCCCACGAAGGTGGGCTCAAGCCCGTCCCCGCCTACGGTAGACCAACAATGGTCTCGGGCTCGGATCTGCTTCCTGCGCCCCTTCCTGCTCTCTATCAACTTCATCCTCCTTCGAAAGAACCTTGTCCTCAAGGTTGAAATCTGGAAATTGGGCCACAAAGCTTTCCCTCTTCATCCAAGTAGCATCGTCACTAAGCTGTCCAGCCCACTTAATTAATAGCTCTTCCTCTTTGTCATTTTTCTTTCTGCTAGCCAATATCTCTTCAGGCTCACATGCTGGACCCACTGGCAATTCTAAGTTTTCTGGCAACTCACTCTCTACTGGGGATCTCCTACCACCTTCCGTAGCTGAGACACATGGAAGACTGGATGAATCCGGCTGGTAGATGGTAAAGCTAGGTGCTAGGCTGTCGGCCCTATGCGTTCTTCAATCACGAATGGCCCATAGAATTTAGCCGCTAACTTATTGTAAGGCTGGCGGAATAAAGTGGTCTGCCGGTATGGCCTGACCCCCAAAAACACCTTGTCCCCAACCTGGAATCCACATTGTGACGGTGCTTATTGGCTTGAGTCACCATGCGCTGTTGTGCTTTCTGTAAACTTTCTTTTAGCCGAATCAGCATAACATCCCTGCTACCAAGCACTTCCGTAACGGCTGCCACCTTGCATTCTCCTGGTAAATACTGCCAAATAGTGGGAGGTGGCCGGCCATACACCACCTCAAATGGAGAGATCCTTGCTGCAGTCTGGAACGCGGTGTTATACCAATATTCAGCCCAAGATAGCCACTTGATCCATTGCCTCGGCTGCTCACACGTAAAGCAACGCAAATACGTTTCTAAAACTCGATTTATCACTTCTGTTTGACCATCCGTCTCTGGGTGATAGGCTGAGCTTAATTTTAACTGAGTTCCGGACAAGGAAAACAACTCCTTCCAAAATGCACTGATAAATAAGGAGTCTCGATCACTAACGATTGAGCGTGGGATGCCGTGTAGCCGAACTACTTCTCTGGAAAAAGCTTCAGCTACTGGCCGGGCTGTGATTGGAGCTTTTCGAGCTATGAAGTGCCCATATTTGGACAATCGGTCCACCACTACCAAAATAGAAGTGTACCCCTTTGGCAAACAAGTGATGAAATCCATGGAAATATCTTCCCAAATCAAGCCGGGAATAGGCAAGGGCTGCAGCAATCCAGTCAGTGACATTGCCTCATACTTGGCCATTTGACATACCAAACATTGTGCGACATAGGCTTGCACTTGGCGGAACATTCCCTTCCAGAACACGTTCATTGCTAGCCTTCTATACATTCGATATGCGCCCGCGTGCCCACCTGTAGGAGTGTTATGGAATTCCTCCATTAGACGAGGAATCTATTTAGAGTCAGCAGCTAGCGCCAATCGACCTTTGAAAAACAGCCGTTTCCCAATCACCTCATAGCCTGGTACACTACCAGGGTCAGTTGCCAGTGCCTTGATTCCCTACAAAGATTTATCCTTTTGTTGCTCTTCTTCAATGTCGGCCAGACCCATCCACTCTGATACGCTAACTGCTGCTAGTTCGAGCTCATCTCCTCTTCGTGACAAGGCGTCTACTGCTGCATTAGAAATACCTGATAGAGACACCGGCAGCTCTAATAGAGGAGATAAATACTTCAGCCACGTTTATTCTAGAAGGAAGAAATAGTTAGTTGTTATGTGCTTGTAACTACTTTCAGTTGGGAGTTTGTATATAAATAGAATAAACTGCGGTGGAAGGGGTAGGCTGTTTTTGAGACACTTTGTCTTGGCTGGGAAGTTAGAGTTTTATCTCTACTTTGGGACTCTGCACATGAACATTTACTTTCAGTATATTGTTGATTGATGTACTTGCATTCTTTCCTCTTGTGTGAGCTGATTCTTGTTTGAATTACTGTTGAAATCTTGTATAGTTCTATCAATTGGTATCAGAGCACGTTGATTCTGTGAATGGTTGGAACGCGTAAAAAGAAAATGGAGGGGCGAATGAACGACATGGAGACGAAGTTTGATACGATGGTTGCGATGATGACCGCGATGCAGGCGGGCATCGCTGATTTGCAGAGCAAGCGACCCGATCGATCGAGGAGTCGATCGCATCACTCCACTAATTCGCAACACACTGCTCGCCATCGTCATACGAAGCACAGCGACAATTCTGAAGAATCGGATCATAATTCTGATCATTCAGTATCGCCTATCAATCGCAATCCACACAAATATCACAAGCGCCATCAACCGGTAGGAAGGAAGATTGACCTACCGATTTTCAATGGAAAAGATGTCTTCGGCTGGTTGGTAAGGATGAACAGGTAATTTCGATTGAACCGAACGGATGAAGATGATAAGATTGATGTTGCGGTCGTGGCCCTAGAAGATCAAGCTCTAAGTTGGTTCCCATGGTGGGAAGGGCAGGCTCAACATCAGGACTGGGAAACTTTTACGAATGCTTTATCAAAAAGATTTCAGCCTGATATGGTACAGGATCCTTTAGGGCCCTTATTCAATCTGAAACAGAAAGGATCTGTACAGGAATATAGAAACCAGTTTGAGATTGCCATAGCTTCTCAAGGCCACTTGACGGAAGAGGTGTTAAGAGGAATTTTTCTCAAAGGATTACGGAGGGACATTAAAGCTGAACTTAAGCTGTATTCTGCAAGGACTTTAGCAAAGGTGATGGATACTGCTATCTTAATAGAGAACAAGAACAATGAATCCTTGTTTATCAAGAACCGGGAAGAAGGAAGGAGGAAAGGGTTGAGTAAGAGCAACCAAAACTAGGGAGATAGCAACAAATGGAGAAGTTATTCCACTACTTCTGCAACTATGAACAAGGGATCAGGAGAAAATCGAACTATGAATGAAGATAAAAGTCAGAATGGGAAGAAAGAAGGCCCCAGACTATCCAAGAATGAGCTGTTAGACAGAAGCAGGAGAGGCTTGTGTTTTAAATGTGGAGAACATTGGGGAAAAGGGCATGTTTGTAAGATGAAAAACTTCAAGATGATATTAGTGGAACAGTCTGAAGGGGAAAATGAATCCGAGGAGGAGGTAAACGATTCTGCAGAGGAGGGAGAAGGTATCAGACAACTTAAAACGATGCAGTTATCAGTTTTAAGTAAAGAAGGTATTCCCTCTATGAAAACTTTCAGAGTAAAAGGGTTATTAAAATGGGAGCAAAGAGAGGAACAGGTGGATATTCTTATTGATTGTGGTGCTACCCACAATTTTATGGCTCAAGGCTTGATTGACAGATGGAAGATTCCTTTTACCCCTACTCAAGGGTATAAGGTACAAATTGGTAATGGGGAATTCATACCTAATATTGGCAGATGCAATGAAGTGACATTGGAAGTGCAAGGTACTGTAATTCAACAGACCTTCTATTTGTTGGAGTTGGGTGGTACTGATATTGTATTAGGCATGGAGTGGTTGACTCAGTTGGGCAATATGGAAGTGAATTTCCAGAGTCAAGTGATAAAATGGAAACAGCAGGGACAGAACCATATGATAAAAGGGGAAGAAGCTTTAAACAATCTGAAGATACCTTTAAGAACCATGCTACATATTCTACAAAGAACTGGTGATGGTTATTTGATGTACTGTGAAGGACAGAAGGATGTTAAGGAACTAAAATTAAAAGGTGAAGAAGATTGGGATGGCATTATCTCAGAATTTCCAGAAGTTTTCACCACTCAGCTGCAGTGTCCCCCTGCAAGAAATTGTGATCATGCAATAAACATCAAGGAAGGAGCAAGCATACCAAATCTGAGACCCTACAGGTATTCATTTGATCAGAAGAATGAAATAGAAAGAATAATTGGTGAAATGTTAAGTTCTGGGATCATCAAGCATAGTAACAGCCCATATAGCAGGCCAATTCTATTGGCCAAAAAGAAGGATGGGGGTTGGAGGTTCTGTGGGGACTATAGGGCTTTATATAAAATAACTGTGCCTGATAAATTTCCTATTCCAGTCATAGAGGAACTGTTGGATGAATTATGTGGAGCCACAGTTTTTTCCAAACTAGATCTCAAATCCGGTTACCACCAGACAAACTTGTTAAAAGCGATAAAAAGCTCCCAAAAGCGACAAAGCGCAGGCGAGCGTTCAACCTACGCCTGGCTTTTGAAAAGCGGCTCGTCGTGAGAAAGCGAAGCTTTTCCGGCGCTTTTCTTGAGTTCGCTTAATGGAAAAGCGATCGCTTCGATACGCTTCTCACAAAAAGCGGTCCAGTCAAATTTTTTTCTCCAAAATTTTGGTCTTCTCGTTTCGCCACTACAAGTTAGAGTTGGAGTTGTTCGACTCTTTCCCACTCCAGACAAAGCGTCACAATAGAGTCCAGCAAAGCCGCTGCTGAAGAAGTCCCAGCCTGCGATTGAATATT